CAGCCCCTTCCCGCACCCGCATTCCCGCTGTTCCGCGTTAGCGAGCGGAGCATGCGCGGCTCCTCCGGGAGGCCCTGGGCTGCCCTCCGTCCCCTCTGCTCCCTCTTCCCGGCTCTGGCTCCCGCTGCTCCTTTCCCTGGAGCAGGGCTGGGCTCTGGGGATGGGGACACAGGGCCACCCGGAGCGAGGGGCGCTGTCTGTGTGGAGCAGCGCGGCGGCACCGCGGGCTGTCCCCAGGGTGTCCTGGCCCCGTGTCCCTGCGCGGGGCCACGAGCTGGAGGAAGGAGCTGGGATTAGGGCAGGGTCCTCTCCAGCTGGGATCCTGCTGGGGCTGAGCCACCCATGCCCTGTGCCATGCAGTGCCGTGCGGTGCTGTGCAGTGCTGTGCAGTGCCATTTGGTGCCGTGTGGTGCTGTCTGGTACCATGCAGTGCCATGCAGTGCTGTGCAGTGCTGTGCAATGCTGCGCGGTGATGTGCGATGCTGTGCAGTGCCATGCAGTGCTGTGCAATGCTGCACAGGGATGTGCAATGCTGTGCAGTGCTGTGTGGTGCTGTGTGGTGCCGTCTGGTACCATGCAGTGCCGTGCAGTGCCGTGCAATGCTGTGCAATGCTGCACAGTGATGTGCAATGCCGTGCAGTGCAGTGTAATGCTGTGAAGTGCTGTGCAGTGCCGTGTAATGCTAGGCAGTGTCATGCAGTGCCATGCTATACAGTTTTGTGCTGTGCCATGCCATGCCGTGCGGTCCCGAAGCTGCAGCTTCACGTGGTGCAGCACCATGCAGCTCGTTTGGACGGTGCAACGTGAGGCCAAAGCCGCAGTGCCGTGCAATGCTATGCAATGCTGTGCGGTGATGTGCAATGCTGTGCAGTTCTGTGTGGTGCTGTACGGTGCCGTCTGGTACCATGCAGTGCCATACAGTGCCGTGCAGTGCCGTGCAATGCTGCGCGGTGATGTGCAATGCCGTGCAGTGCTGTGTGGTGCTGTGCGGTACCGTCTGGTACCATGCAGTGTCATGCAGTGCTGTGCAGTGCCGTGCAATGCCGTGCAATGCTGTGCAATGCTGTGCAGTGCTGTGTGGTGCCGTGCAGTGCCATCTGGTACCATGCAGTGCCGTGCAGTGCCGTGCAATGCTGTGCAATGCTGCGCGGTGATGTGCAATGCTGTGCAGTGCTGTGTGGTGCCGTGCAGTGCCATCTGGTACCATGCAGTGCCGTGCAGTGCCGTGCAATGCTGTGCAATGCTGCGCGGTGATGTGCAATGCCGTGCAGTGCTGTGTAGTGCTGTGAAGTGCTGTGCAGTGCCATGTAATGCTAGGCAGTGTCATGCAGTGCCATGCTATACAGTTTTGTGCTGTGCCATGCCATGCTGTGCGTTCCGAAGCTGCAGCTTCACGTGGTGCAGCACCATGCAGCTCGTTTGGACGGTGCAACGTGAGGCCAAAGCCGCAGTGCCGTGCAATGCTATGCAATGCTGTGCGGTGATGTGCAATGCTGTGCAGTTCTGTGTGGTGCTGTGCGGTGCCGTCTGGTACCATGCAGTGCCATACAGTGCCGTGCAGTTTGGGGTCAGCCTGGGCTTGTGCAGCACCAGTTCCTTTGTGGGGCAAGAGGCAGCCCCGGAGCACCCGTGTCCCCATGCAGGGCACCCTGCCCCATCACGTGTGCCCCGTGGGGGCTTGCGGGACGCACGAGTCGCGTGCCCGCCCGTGCTGAGCCCCGCGCGCCTCTCGTTGCAGCAACATCGCCGAAGCCCTGGTCAGCAAGGGCCTGGCCACCGTCATCCGCTACCGGCAGGACGACGACCAGCGCTCCTCGCACTACGACGAGCTGCTGGCCGCCGAGGCCCGGTGAGTGTCCCCAGGGCCCGTGCCCGCCGTCCCCAGGGCCCGCAAGCGCGTCGGCTGCAAAACTCCCTGCGGCTCCGAGGAGGAAGGCTCATAAGTGGGTGCTTCTCCCGTTTGCTTTGGATAAGCATTGCCTGAGCTCTGCAAAAAGCCTTCAGCTCCCCCAAAAAGGGTCAATCCCGGGAAGCCGCCGGTGTCCTGAGCCGGCCGGGAGCTAAGGGCGCTCGTCCCATGCGGCGCGTGGAGCAGGATCCCTGGCATCTCGCCGTGCCAAGCGCCTCCCGGCTCCAGTGAATCCAGCCAGGATGAACCTCAGCCCTGCGGCACCTGCTCATGTTTCACCTGCTAAATGGCTTCCCTAGACAGCGCGCGCTCGGGCTACTTAGCGCAGATAGATTTTAACCTGGAAGAAGCTCATTTCCATTCGAATGGGAAGGTTGCCGGGGTATTTTGCATTGAAAGCGCTTCGCGTGATTAAGCCCTGAAAGAAACACTGATGATTCCAGGTTCCTCTGGAGCATCGGTGCCTGCTGCATTGGCACACTGGTGCACCAGTGCATTGGTGCGCTGGTGCATCAGTGCGCTGGTGCATCGATGCACGGATGCAATAGTGCATTGCTCTTGCTGTTAATTCCCCCCGTTGTTCCGGGAACAGATTGGTTGAATTTGGTGGTGAAGGCAGATGTTGGGTATGAGCTGAGGCTGGGTGAGCGTCGGGGAGCTGCTAATTGGGATTAGCAGGCTAACGAGGTGGCAGCTCCCTCGTGCTGACGGCTGGTGTCTCCTCTCCTTTGCAGGGCCATCAAGAACGGCAAGGGCTTGCACAGCAAGAAGGAGGTGCCGATTCACCGGGTGGCCGACATCTCCGGGGTAAGGAGCCCTGTGGGCACCGAGGCCACGTGGGCACCGGTGCCACGGCACGGGACAAACCTCCTCTTGCATTGCTCTGAGCATTGCTGGGATTGAGAAGGGAAGGGGGAGCTGTGTTGGTGCTGTGCAGCGGGAATGGTGCAGGAGCCGGAGGTGGCCGTGGGCTGGTGCGCAGAAAGGGCCCTCGCGTGCTCTGGAGGAGCGTGATTCCCGAGGTGGCAAACTAGAGCAGCTCGCTCGTTGCAAAGGTGCAGCCCGTCCTGCAGCAAACCCTGCCGAGGTGCCCTGAGCTCGGCTGCCTCGCGGGCTTCTAAAAGATGCATGTGGTTAAATTACCTGCAAAGAGCAAGGCAAACTCCGGGGCTGGGTGAGCAGGATGCGGCGGCTGGAGCAGGCGGCAGGGACGAGATGTGGAGCTGGTGCATCACGGGTGTCCCTGTGCAGGGTGTCTGCTGTGTGCACGTGCATGCATGGTGCACATGCATATGGTGTGCATTGTGCATGTGGTGTGCATGCCTGGGGTGTATGCAGCGTGCATGGTGCACATGCAGTGTGCAAGGTGTGCGCGCAGTTTGCATGCAGCGTGCAAGGCGTGTCCATACAGCACGTGTGCAGTGTGCAAGGTGTGTGCATGCAGCGTGCGTGGTACACATGCAGTGTGCAAGATGTGCATGCAGTTTGCATGCAGCGTGTAAGGCGTGTCCATACAGCACGTGTGCAGCATGCAAGGTGTGTGCATGCAGCGTGCATGGTGCACACGCAGTGTGCAAGGTATGTGTGCGGTTTGCATGCGGCGTGCAAGGTGTGTCCATACAGCATGTGTGCAGCATGCAAGGTGTGTGCCTGCGGCGCGCATGCAGTGTGCACGGTGTATACCTGTAGCATGCAAGGTAGTCCTTGCATGTCCTTGCAAGGTCCCTGTGATGCCCAGCTCCTTGGAGCACTGCTAGCTTAACCAGCAGAGCGGTTGGCGCTGCTGCGAGGAGGGCCTGTGCAAACAAAATTAGGGTCATACATCACCCCTCTTAGGAAGATTTGTTAATCCTTTAAAATGCTTAATAGTTTCCTGCAAATTGATCGTGCTCTTAGTTAGCCGCGTGTCAGCAGTTGTGCGGCGTGATGGATGCAGCGTGCGCCGCGCTGACGGCGGCTGCTCCGCTGCTGCCAAAAGCAGTTAGCGCGGATTAGCGCGGGCATGGCCCGGCACGGCCCGGCACGGCCGCACGTCGGGCAGGTGTCCGGCAGGGAGGAAACTCCCGATCGGACACGGCAAATCCCCCATGCATTCGGCAGCGGGATCCCCCCGGCCCCTCGGGAGCGCCCGGCTCTCCGGGCTGGCTCCCGGGCCGGCAGCGCTTCCCTGCGCGCCGCTGCAATCCCGCCGCTCCCGTGCTCGCTGCAAACTGCCAACTCCACGCTCCCGATTGAGGTCAGCCCCAGCCTGCCGCTCCTCCCTCCCGGCGCGGCTCCCGCGTCGCGCTGACGCGGGCGTTTGCAGGCGCGTGCCTTCGGTGTTTATCCGTGTAATGGGGGCTATAAATATTGCACGGGGTTGCTATGCCACGCTGCGGCGCCGGGAAGGGGGAGGCGGATCCGGCCCGCGGCCGCGCTCGGAGCCGGAGCCCCGGCTCAGCCCCCTGTGCAGCCGCAGGAGCTGCCCGACCCTTTGTCCCGGTGCAGGGAATTGGCACCTTTTGGGAGCAGAAGCGCCCGGCAGGCCCATATTCCCACAGGGAGCGTGAGCTTGCAGTGTCCCCACTGCCCCGCACATTCCCAGATCCGGAGCAAGCTCTGGCCCTGCGTTTGCTCCGGCCCGCGGGAGCCGGAGCCGCGGGCTGCGGCACGCTCGCTTCCCTCCCGCGCAGCTCGCTCTTCTAAATTAAGGAGGCAGTAAAATAAAAAGCCACCTGGCTGCGGGTTATTTTGGGAGCTGCTTTGCTTTTCTTCGCCGGGTAAATAAATCGGGTGCTTGCAGCATCGGTGTCCTGCTGCTTCCAGCACAGGCAGCTTCCAGGGGCTTGGCCGGGGCCGCTGGCTGCAAGCGAGCCCAGGAGCGAGCCGGACGGTGGTCCAGGCACCGTCCCATGGAGGGGCTGGGGGGACACAGGGACACTGCTCGGCCCTGCAGTCTCCAAAACTGCTCGGCGGTTCGTTAAGTTCCCGTTAGGAATGAGCTGGAGCAGATGCACAGGCCGTGTCACAGCGGGAGGCTGGAAGTCGGATTCAGCTGCCCCAGGGCGGCTGGGATCCGGGATGTTCCTCACCCTGGGGCAGGGATCCGGGATGTCCCTTACCCCGGGGCAGTTGGAATCCAGGATAGCCCGTGTCCCAGGGCAGGGATCCGGGATAGCCTGTGCCTCTGGGGAGGTATCCAGGGTGTTCCTCAGCCCGGGGCAGCTGGGACCCGGGATGTCCCTCACCCCAGGGCAGTTGGGATCCAGGATGGCCTGTGCCCTGGGGCAGGGACCTGGGATGGACCGTGCCCCTGGGCAAGGATCCAGGATAGCCTGTGCCCCTGGGCAGGTATCTGGGATGACCCGTACCCCAGGGCAGCTGGGATCCGGGATAATTTGTGCCCTGGGGAAGGGATCTGGGATAGCCCATGCCCCAGGGCAGGGATCCAGGATAGCCTGTGCCCCTGGGCAGGTATCTGGGATGACCCGTACCCCAGGGCAGCTGGGATCCGGGATAATTTGTGCCCTGGGGAAGGGATCTGGGATAGCCCATGCCCCAGGGCAGGGATCCAGGATAGCCCGTGCCCCTGGTGTACCCCTGGGCACCTGGGATCCAGGATAATTCGCGCCCTGGGGCAGGGATTCGGGATAGCCCATGCCCCAGGGCAGGGATCCAGGATAGCCCGTGCCCCTGGGCACCTGGGATCCGGGATAATTCGTGCCCTTGGGCAGGGATCTGGGATGGCCCGTGCCCCTGGGCAGGGATCCGGGATGGCCTGTACCCCTGGGCAGCTGGGATCCGGGATAACTCGCGCCCTGGACAAGGATCCCGGATAGCTCGTGCCTCAGGCAGGGATCTTGTTGGTTGGCTTTGCCATGGCTGTGGATGCGGGATGGGGCCTCAGTGCTCCAGCTGCTCCGTCCCTCTGCGGTTTGGCCGGGCTCGGGGTGCGTCGCGGCCGCATGCCGCATGCCGGGTGCCGCATGCCGGGTGCCGCATGCCGGGTGCTGACACCTCTCTCCCGCAGGACACGCAGAAGGCCAAGCAGTTCCTGCCCTTCCTGCAGCGCGCCGGCCGCTCCGAGGCCGTGGTGGAGTACGTCTTCAGCGGCTCCCGCCTCAAGCTCTTCATGCCAAAGGAAACCTGCCTCATCACCTTCCTGCTCGCAGGTAACGCGGGAGCGCGCGCGTTCCCATCCGGGATCCCCCGGAGCGCTGCGGGCACGGGCTGCGCATCCCGCCGCCCGCACGTTGCACGCGGAGCTCGCCGCGCGCTCCGGCTTCCTCTGCTCCATCACCACATCCCGTGTATCCCTGTCCTGCTCCGCGTGTGCCATCCGGGACTTCCCGCACCGCATTCCCTGTGCGCGTCCCAGGCACCGCTCTGTCCCGGCGCGACGCTTCCAGGGAGCCGCGTGGGGAATCCCGCGCAGCCCGGCCGCGTCCGCGGGGCGGCTCGGCTCCCGCTCCCATTTCCATGGCGATGGGAAGGGATGACCCTGAGCGCTCCCAACGCCGTTATGGCAGTGGGATGGCGTGTCGGAATCGATCTGATGGGGGATCAAACAGCCGAGGCCTCCGGAAGCGCCGGAGCGAGTTATCCGGGCAGAGCGGGGGCTCCCGGCGGAGCCTTGGCCCTGCTCCCGCATCCCGGCAGCATCCGGGCGGCAGCTCCGGAGCGGCGCGGGGCAGCGGGATGGGAAGCGTGTCCTAAACCCGTCCTTCCCGGCGCGCCTGTGCGTATAAATAGGCCTGGGGCCTCATTTATAATTAACCGCCGCTAAAGTCAGCGGCGAAGGCGGGGACGGAGCCTCCCCCTCGGCTGCGCCGCTCGCATGGAAATCGCACGGAGCCGAGAAACTCCCACGTGCTCCGGAGGGGGAGGCAGTGAAGGCGCTGGGATTGCAGTGGCTGGCGGGCCCCCGGGGAGGCGCC